GCGTAGGGCATATTTCAAGTATTCATTTGTCCTACATTTCTGGGAACCTGAACAATCTATCACTGGGAATGGATTAAGGGTCTTAGAGGGTATCCCCTGTCAAGGTTTCAAAGGGTCCCAGGGGCTGGAAAGGGCCTGTTGGCTAACCTGAACTTTGATGTTTTTCAGCATTGTATATTAGTAAACTAGAAAAGGGCAGCTATTATACGCCTTATTTTTGAAGTGTTCACCAAATGATTAACGGGGCAAGGGACAAGGGGCCTAGGGCTATTATTTGCCACTTTCAAAATGGGGCTGTAGTGGCACCACCCAGTGGTGCCAAGTGCGTGGGGCATTTTTCAAGTATTTATTTGTCCTCCATTTCTGGGAACCTGAACAATCTATCACTGGGAATGGGTTAAGGGTCTTAGAGGAAACTTATCAATAGTCAGCTTTGTTACAACGCGAAATGTAATAACAACGCGATATGTAATAAACCCGGATTGTTACATTTTGCGTTATTACATTTTGCGTCGAGATCAACGCAAAATGTAATAACGAAAAATGTAATAACCCGATTTTTAGATTATTACATTTTGCGTTATTACATTTTGCGTTGAGATCAATGCAAAATGTAATAACGTCCTTTTTCGTTGTTACATTTTGCGTTATTTTATTTTTGCACTGAAGACAACGCAAAATGTAATCAAACAATATGTAATACATATATAGAAATATGTAAAAAAAAAAAAAAAAAAAAAAAAAAAATTAAGATTATTTTTTTTATTGCGTATAACAATAAAGATAAAAAAAATTGATTCAAATATATACATGTAACCAACATGGGAAACACACTATAAAAAATATTTAGAAGTAAAACAATGAGATTAAAGCTGGGGCTTTTACGGACATAAATACATCTAAATGTAACGTTTTACTGACTCTGATTTTGTTATATTGGATACACTGTGCTTAATTTTACAGAATTAATTTAACTTTGATTCGGATATTTTTGATAGTTTGATTTTTGATTAAATTTATAACCAATAACACATATTCAATTACCAAAGAGTGACCATAGGTTCATTAAAAGCTCTTGATATGCATGTTCGGCATGCATACATTGGTTAACAAATTAGAAGTGTATGTGTGTTTCAAGCGAGGGGGGCAGAAATAGAGTGGGGTGTTTACTTCGTATGTTTATTACTTTATTACTGTGGACACGCAGAGACAATCCATTTTATCATTGGATGGAAAAAGAGAATTTTGTTTTTGCTTGTCTGCAATGCTGGTGATTTACATGGAACAGTATGGTATCATTATTGTCAATAAACCCCTTCCCGCTCTATATTATTTTACATCTGCCAGTACAAATTAATATATTTTTTTAATTCATTGCATTTGTCTTTAAAAAAACAAAAGCACACTGGTCAAATTACCCCCTAACAACCCTGCCCACACATGCATGTTTCTAATTTGCAACACCTATACTTTAAATACATTTATTAACTTGATTTTTATACATGTAGCTAATTAAATCCATATATTATAAAATCTATTAATCGTCACAAATTGCATATATCTATTTTTTCCTTTTGTTTTATTTTCTTTTCATCGACCACTACACTATTAAAAATTGTACTCAATCTGGCTGACGAAAAAAAATGTTATTACATTTTGCGTTCTTGGCTTTTGCTTAATCTCGACGCAATATATAATAACGCAAAATGTAATAATCCAAAAATCGTGTTATTACATTTTGCGTTATTACATTTTGCGTTGATCTCGACGCAAAATGTAATAACGCAAAATGTAATAATCTTCAGATGTGTGTTGTTAATTTTTGCGTTATTACAGTTTGCGGTGATTTCGACGCAAAATGTAATAACGCAAAATGTAATAATCCAGGTTTATTACATTTCGCGTTGTTATTACATTTTGCGTTGTAACACAGCTTCTCTCATACATATGCAGCAATATACTTCATCGCCTAGATACGGGATCTATATCTCTCAATTAATTGGTTCGATAAGCAAGAGCATAATTTCCGATATTGATATTGAAGTTGATGAAAGAACATCAGCAATCTCGTTTGAAGTCAGCATATTGTAAGCTCTATGGTCGATTCATGACTTTGTCAACAAACACAATTTTTCATTCAGTCAAATGCTAACAAACGTTTTTTTATATTTATTGTTAGTTCATTATTCACACATTGAATTGTAGACGGATTTTTTCCGTTTATCCCGATCATGAGGAGGAGACCACAGCAATGTGACCAGTCGATAAGGAATACTCACTCCTCAATGGCACCTGGACAAAAATCAGATGTTCTAGAAGTCTTTGCATTGTCTGCTCTGCTACAATTGACAAGTGTACATGTATTGTTGCATGGGCTTTTGAGCTTGAATACTCTTCATTAACTCCTTTTATTAAATGATCAGGAATTTTGGTGCTCTCTGATTGGTCTAGACGCCTTTTCCTGATATGTACCTTAGAGTGAGTTCACCTCATATGACGTTCTGAGGGGGGGGGGGGGTATTCGGGTTTTCCCTCTTGACTAACCATAGATTTGCTTACATTTTTTTCGACTAATCAGATTGCGTGTTTCAAAGCATTTGTCGGTGTGAATGTAAACATGCCAGACGCCAGTACCAAGGAGATTAAACACTTTTGAAAGTAAGTGGTTTAGTATTGATTGTTTAATAATATTGTTTTCCATTTTTAATTACTAGTTATTAATTAGATAAGTTGTGAAAATCATATAATGGGTTTTTTTTAATGGAGACAAAAGATTGAAACTGTCAAAAGTGTTATAAAATTCCTGATCATTTAATAAAACGGTCATTGACTCTTGAATTCGGTCTACTCGTGACTATACAGACCTGGTCAGGTATAGGTTAACTTCGGCCTTTGGCCTCGGACAATCAATACCTGACAAGGTCTGTATAATCACGAGTAGAACTCATGAAAAGTTAATATTTGTATAATATTTCATAAGAAAGCCATTCTAAGTGGGGAAAACAATTGTCAAATTAGTCGAATAACAATCAAGGTGTTAAGGCATGAAAATTGTAATTTTTCCTATGGTTATCTTGCTTTAGTGTTCTTTAGATTAAGCATTGCCGCTTCCTCTAAATTATATAGTTTACAAATCACTGGGAATATGTTTTAATAACACACCTTACAAGACTGACATCAATTACGCGTTACACACTCCGTACGAATATTCCGATGACCTCCTCTAATAAACATCATAATTATCAAACAATGTAAGTAGGCTACCACCTTAACCATAACTACTTCAACCGATCAGTCTAAAAGAAAGAAGGTAAAATTTAAATAACTTTCACAAAAGAAAAATACTCTAAAAATTGAATGAAATAAAAACTTTTTCCAAGAGAAGATATCTAGTAAGTGTCACAATTATTGATATCTTTTAAAACTATTTTTCTAAAGAAAAACTTGTCCAGAAATGGCAGAAAATGCGACATTTGTGCTGACGTATCCTTCTGTAGCAATATATTATAATTTGTTTTCATAATGCCCTTAGAGTAGAAGGGGAGTCAAAACTAACTATCAAAGTACAGAAATACTAATTATTGATTATTATGATAAAACCTCAATTTTTCACACCATGACCAATTTTTTTTCTTTACTCACAAAATATTACAAGCAACACAACTCTTAAAATAATGAAATATTATAACAACAGAAGAGCTTTGCTCCATATAAATAAACTATTAGAGTTTGAGCCATAAACATAATTAGTATAACCGTCCGAATTTCCTCTGTCATATTGATATTTTTTCCCTGATGGAAAGATGGGTTTGATGATTTCAAGTGATGTTATTTTTTATTTATGAAGGTAAAACATATTCAAAAGATGAAATTTATTATTAACACTTATGTACATTTGAAATTTCTATAATAATAAATATTATAACAGCCTGCATATAATCAAATTTGTATTACCTAATTAAAATAAAGCTGTAAAATCACAATTTTCGTGCAGGATAATTTTCGTTGTTTTCAAGGTATGTAGAGGCCCATGAATTAATGTCCACCACGAAATGTACATTTTTCACATGTTATACAACTCAACAATTCTACAACCGAGAATTTAAATCCCAATGAACCTATATACATGTATTCTTATCAAACCTCGAAAATTTGACCCCTCGAAAATATGTGATTTTACAGTATGCAATTTTACGAGACATGTTGACTTAATCTATATGAATAACAAAAAGTTGCATAAAAAGTTACATACATGTAGTGAATGCTATATATTATGCTGATAAGATAAGTACACAGCGTATGCATGGGTCATTTTAAAAGATGCATTGGAGGAACTTGCTATAATGATATTGAAAAGAGATTAAAAAGATATTACTCAAATGGCGTATGTACAAGGAAACAAAATAATAATATAAAATTGAAATAAAAGCAGAATTCTAGCCCAAAAGATACAACCAAAAATGATTACAGAAAAAAAAAATCTTAAATAGTTTCATCTAATTATTTATCCGAAAGTTGACTAGAGATATTTTTGACTAACAGCTTTTTTATCTTTCAATACATGTATATGTTTTACACCAGGGATGGGATCAATTACTTTAAAAAGTAATCAATTAAATAACAACTACTTTGACCTTTTCTTCAATTAAATTACAGGCTTTTTAAGACATGTAATTAATTAAATTACAATAACTTTACAAAAGTAATTATTAAATTACAAATTACTTTTTCATTTTTTTTAAATTTTTAAAAATCATATGAATATACAGAATAGAGACCATTCGCTTGTATATAAGCGCAGCCTCTGCACAAACAATACAAGAAATAATATGCTAGTGGGCATTGTGTATCTTTGTAGTTTAAAACATAACTTTTATTTACAAAACAGTAAAGAACTATTCAAGTTCAGTTTGATGCAATTGCCTCCACACAAAACCGACATGTACACAAATTGTATGGGTTATGATGTTTAATTTACAGTGTTTTTTTAAAGAGTAAAATAAGTCTAAACTATAACTCCTCAAATTAAATATTTTTTTAAAGGTAACCTTAACATCTTAAATTGCTACTTATGTTGAACATTTTTACTTCATATTTATACAATACTTGTACTAAACATCTCTTTTTCAGATACAAAAATCATTCATAAAATTCTGTTTAGATGTTAAAATAATTATCAAATTAAAAGTTTTCTTTTTTTCAAACTAGCGGTGCATTTTTAATTGAAATTATTATCCCCATGCATTGGCTTTGTCATCCTAATTATTGAATGACTATGTCTTTAGAGGCGATGATTTGTTTTGATTGCAATTTACATCTGTGATCTGTAGGGCAATTATCTCTTAATACCAACAAGAGTGAACTTCATTAATGACACACACTTTCCTCTTCTTTTTTTCTTGACACACACATTCTTATTCTACGTTGATGAAAAACAGAGAATGAAATATGATACATAATGTGTGTTTCATAGCTGAATAAACATATTAAAAAATGGTGGTGCAAAATGAAGATAAACATAAAACAAAAAAAAAATCAAATTTTATATAATGATTAGAAAGAAACTACATTATAATCATACATGTAATATAAACTGTCTTCTGTATAATTGAAGGACTGCGGATATGTTTTGCAATAAAATAAAAGACAGTATAATGAGGAGGTCGTGGTGACAATATATTGTGCATTGTACTATATAAAGTAATTGAATGTAATTGAAAATGTAATTGAAATTACATGGTATTTTTTCAGTGTAATTAATCAAATAACAATAATTATTACAAGTAATTGAAAAAATGTTCAATTACAAATTACATCCAATTACTTCCAAAAATGTTATTAATTACAGTCAGTTACATTTTTCAATTACCCCATCCCTGTTTTACACTCGAGTAAGGTCTCAAAAGTTAATCAGTGAAAGCTTAGGCAGCAATCTGCTTTAAAAACATATGCACGTTTCGGACTAAGCACAATAGTGTTTTTGCACAAGAGTTAACACCTTCTTCACTCATCATAATCATAATCATTATCTTGAAATGATTAAACATAAGATTCCTTGTAGCTTCTAGCTATATTGAGATTTCTGTCAGTACTCTCCTCCATTGTATGGGTGCCACATTTAAAACCTTTCGAATTCGCTGAAAAACAAAAAAATTGATGTAGAATAACTGCTTTATTTTATTTTAGTTTTAATGGGTTAAAATACAGTTACTGGATATTTTTCAACCTATATTAATCATAACAGTGTTTTTTAAATATTGATTATAGGGACTCAATACTTAATTCTAATAAATAAAAAAAGGATTTTGTACCAATCCAACACAACATTGAATAAAACTCGCAGTACAGTTAAGGTGCGCAATGGAAATATTCACTAAATTGTATTTAAAAATGTATTCGCAATCAGGATGGCGATTATTTTTAATACATTCTTTATAGCGGATAATTGTAATTATGATTTATATTCATATCGAGGACGATTATATTTTTTATTTGGACTAGTCACGTGATGCGGCAGTCACGCGATTTAGCACATTGACTTGAAGTATTGATGTTACAGATAAATATCACTAGACTAAGTGCAAGTGCATAACCAAGTTAAATTTCCAAGTTTCGTATATAAATATTTTGAACACGCATTGTAGTTTCTAAAAGGTGCTGCGATCCTGTCTAAATTCTGCAATTTCATTTATTAAAATATACTTGTATGGCCCAATGCTATATTTTTTGCTGGTCAGCGACATGAAATATTGATATAATTAAATTGTTTTTAAGATTTCATCAGGATCGCAGCACTCTTCAGATACCTTAATAGTTCTATAGTTGAAATGTAAAAGCTTACTTTGATCCATAGAGGGTACGCCCTTGCAATAGATCGATTTATTAAGACCTCCCACATTACCCTCGGATGTACATGCATACAAATATACGGCAGTGTCAATAAAATACGTAATGCACAGAAAATATATTAATAAAATATTGAAAAAGACATAAATGCAAGTTATTGGCCCATAGAATATCTGTAAATAATATTTTATTCAATCAGAGAATACATATTTTGTTCGGAATATATTACGTGATCTGTCTCTCACTGCGTACAAACTACGTCACGTTGTAAGAATTGACGTCATATTGACAAGTGTATTGCGATCAGTGACTCATTTATAACTTGTTACGTGGGATTTAACTAACGACAAAACAACAGGCTGTAGTAAGTTTTTATGTAATTTGATGATTTCTTACTGGTTAAATTAGCAGATAAACTAATTTTTTGGTATTTTAAAGAAATGGTGTATGACGTATATTGTGTATGATGTCACAGTCAAGTTTTCCCGTACAAATTAGGCTCCGCATCCTTTTTGTAACCTTAACTGTGCTGCGCTTCAAGCATATTTGACTACTCTTGGACAACTTAATAAGTTCACAGGGGTTTAAAGAGCAATCCAAAGGGGTAACGTATAACAAGAGGCCAAGGAGTCGCATCGCTCACCTGAAGAACTAGCCAGGTAAAAGCAAGAATCAGTTCAGTATTTAAAAGTTTAATATAAAAATGGGTTCCCAAGGTGGGGATGGGGGTATTTGAACAAACTTACTTATCTTTTTTATGCTTTTATTTAGATGATAAATCATGGCTTTGTTGGTTTTTTTTTTTTGATGAATTTAAATGACTTCTGCTATATATTCCTACATAAAACTTTGATCACCCATTGTGGCCCCACTCTACCAAGGGGACGAGTCATGATTTGAACAAATTTGAATCTATATGACTTCCATATAAAAACAAACAATCACAGCTTAGTTGTTCGCAAGGAGAAGACTTTTAAAGATTTTTTTTTTCTGTTATCCTTCTTAAATCTTTTATCACCCATGATAGCCCAACCTTGCCCTGAGATAATGAGTTGAACAACTTGAATATGCACTACACGATGATGCTTTTATATAACTATGGCTTTGCTACATGTATTCTATAGAAGAAGATTTTTAAAGATTTTTTTATGTATTACTATGTAAATTGTTGATACCCCATTGTACCCTCCACTCCCTTCTGGGGTCATGATTTGAAGAAACTTGCAATTGAATTTACACTACCAGAGGATGCTGTCATATAACCATGACCAATCATGGCTCTGCTGTTCTTTAGAAGATTTTAAAAAAATCCTATGTTTTCCTATGTTAAACTTTGATCCCCCACTGTGGCCCAACCTTAACCCTCGGGGTCATTATTTAAGTAAATTTAAATCTTCACTACCAAAAGATGCTTTTACTTGAGTTTCATTTGTTCTGGTCCAGTGGTTCATGAAAAGAAGATTTTAAAAGGTTTTTCCAATGTATTCCTATTTTAAAATCTGGTACCCCATTGTGATCCCACCCTTAAAAAGGGGGTCATGATACGAACAAACTTGAATCTAAATTACATTGTGATGTTTCAACATGAGTTTCATCTTTCCTGGCCCAGTTGTTCTTGAGAAGAAGATTTTTAAAGATTTTAAAAAGATACCATTAATCTTTCACTAACTAATAATTATCTTCCCTTGGAAAAGGGCTTGGCCCTTCATTTGAACAAACTTGAATCCCCTTCACCAAAGAATACTTTGTGGCAAGTTTTGTGGAAATTGACACAGTGGCTCTTGAGAAGATGAAAATGTGAAAAGTTAACGACGACAACAACGACAACAACGACGACAACGTCGACAACGGATAAATTTTAATCAGAAAAGCTCACTTGACTCTTCGGCTCAGGTGATCTTAAAAGGAATCAGTAATTATGAATAAAACTTAGCCTCTGCAGATTGAGTAAAAAGAGTAAATTAAACCTAGTGAGCGGTATACTAGCTTTTAATGCATACCGCATAGTGTTTCAAGAAGTTTTTCATTTTTATACCAATTCTTTAAACATAGTAATATTGAGTTAGTAATCTTGCCAACCAGTGATGTTTTTTATAACTTTTTTTTTACAATGTGGAACTTTTCAAGCTTCAGCACGCACGATTAAACGTGTACCGTTTAATAGAATTTAACCCCTACGTGCAATTATAATTTGTATGATAAATCAATATTTTCCGCATTAATAAGATATTTTTGTTCTAAGATCAGAAATAATGGATGTACGTGTTTCAAGAAGTAATTCTCTGTTGCAACCTGGTTATTATATGGCTAATTCCAATTTGACGAGTTGATGGTATCAACTCATGTTATGTTACCTGTAAGGAATTAAATCACATTTTCGAATGAGTATTTTAAGTACAGGTTCTTGTATATTATTGGTTTATTTACAATTTTCATTATCTGTATATATATTTCTCACCTTATTTGTACGTTGCGCGATGGAAACGTTCTGATCATGATCAGCATCTCTTTCAGTTTCATAACAAGTGTTGTTAAAAACTGCAGCCTTTGAGTATTGCCTAATGAAAGTAAAAAATATTGTGATTTCAAAAATTATTAAACATGTTATAATGAATGTAAAAATTCATCCAAAAGCAAACTGAGAGATTTTATACCTTTTTCAGCCTTAGAATTCCAATTTTTTATGTATTTGTAGACGATTACTCCAAGTAAAGTGAGAACAATGCCTAAGATAAGACCGCCAATGAAAGATCCAACTGTCAGATTGACTCTTTTATCTTCTGTAAGGATATGACAGAAAAAGCATTAACATCAAATTACAAAAGTTCTTAAATATAGTACTTAAACAAGCATTTCTAGTGTTAAACAGTTTTTATTTATCAAGAAACATTGAATTGAAATAACTTTTAGGAGAATTGGTCCTTGGAAAAGTTATGTTAACACTTCTGAAAAATTCTTTTAATACTAACAAGATATAAAGCATTATGACGTTTTTCTAAAGCAATAGTTATCAATTAAAACACAAATCGTTATATTCTTCCGCTATAATTATAACCTTCATATGTTTTTTTTTTCTTTTACATCTTCCAACCTATTCCATCCTATTCAATACTCATGAAATACTCTTAGAGGAATCGAAGTAGGCTACTTAAAGAGTAATTGATATTTGAAAACCTCGTTTAACGTCATATATTACGAATACTATGGTCTTTAATGACCTTTTTTTTTTTAAAAAATAAACATTTCATTTGGTTTAATTGGGGTTAATTGGGGTTCAGTTTTTCATGCCAATTGTAAAATTATTGTTGTTATATTAAAAATGAATACGGAATGTTTCGTCTACGTAATCGAATCATATCTCCCGGAGGTACATTTTTTATGCTATTTTACAGGGTTTTTTTTGTTTGTAGGTTTTTTTTACACTGTTCTCTTCACCCTCCATATATTTAGTCTGACGATACACAATTCAAGGTTTATAAAAAAAGGAATGATCATGGAAATGGATTTGTACATTTCAGATACTACTGAAAAAGCAGTTCAAAGCTTGGTGCATTTTGGCAAGATGGCTGTGAAGATTATTTAAGAAATTAGAATTTATAAAATCTAATGAGTGTGAGATTTGTGATTGCACTGAAAATGACTGTGTAAAAATATGCTATCTAAGGGCGTAAGAAACGTTTACGTATTTTTATTACATTTCAGGTGACATGTCTTAGAGTACCTACCTCTAGAAATTGAACAACCAGTATTTAACAAAGATATCATGTTTTATTTCGCTATCTACCAGATCACATCAAATTTATATTAAAACTTGTAAAAATCAAAACTTTTTATTCTCCAGGATAATATTTAAGAATTTTAATGGAAAACATTAAAAAATTGACGTTGAATCTGTCCACGTCTACAGCATCAGAAAAAAATCTCAATATATCTTCATTTTTTAAAATTCCCCAAATCTCAATTGTTCATGTGTAATTTTTTATTTAAAACTATTAAGAATGATATCCTAGGGTAACAAAAACACATACTATATTATACTTGACCAGAAAAAATAACAAAACAGCCTTTTGAACATGTATACCCCCTATTTCGCAATATCAAGTTTTTCAATCATTCTTTGCAAATAAAAAAAGTAAAATTTAAAAAGGTGATAAAAAGGTGATATGTTCTTAAAATCAATAAAAATAGATGTCTGGTTAGTTTGTTTAAAAAAAATTAAAATCTTTAGGTCCGTACAGGCAATGAAGAATTGTGTGTCTTATTAAAAAAGTGCAAAGCGTTATTTCCCATTGAAAACAATTATCAAATGCTTTGTATGCACAATTAAATTATATACAATGAATATATACTTGTTATCTTATTATCAATCACCAATAGAAAAATTATTTCTATAGGCAAGTGATAAAATTATGGTATGTAAAATTAAAACCGGATCAGTAAAAGTATGGACCTTCCTTAAATCTCATTTATGTCTTCTTTATTTAATATTTTTTATGAGTAATGACATAATTTTTTAAATTAGTCCGTGTAGGTGCAGGTTGCTGTCTTTTTTTTTCAGTCTATATTATTTTCTTTTCAAAACAAAACAAAATAGATTACTTAATGTTATTTTTTGTACATACTTTCTCACACATTCACACTTCATTTCTATAGTATTAATTTGAAATAAAATACTTTATAAATCATCATAGAATACTAATACATTATTGATGAAGAAATTTGAGTAAATGAATTACTATATTTAGAAAATGACTATTTTCGATCGACAAAAGTCAATGTGAAATAGTGGAAATTTTCTGAAAAGGTTTACAAAATATCGAAGAAGAGTCAACAAATGATGGATGCTTGTATTTCTACATTTTAAACTTAACCCTAAAAGATGAGATATAATAGTAAAGTATATTATTGAAAATTCGAATACCTTTTGGATCCAGGACTCGTGCTTAAAAAGAGAAGAAAAGAGAAAGTTGCAAAGAGGATATAACAAAAATGGATCCGTTATCTTTTATCTACAAATATGAAATGCTATTTATTTCTGTATACCTTTTCATTTACGCAAGAAACTATGTTTGCAAGTTGGTTTAGTATGTTATTTTTCCGATAGCAACTAAGAAATGTTTAAATTATAAAGTCTTAAGAAGGAATTTCTTTTATCAAAAAATTAATGAATTTTTCAAAGATTTTGAAAATACTACTAAGTGATGTTACATGTATAGATTAGATTAAATGTGACCGTTTTTATCAAGTTCAGGTCAATATTTTTATATTTTTCCATGAGTCCAAGTAATCATATAAAGATAAAAAAGTAAAATAAATCGACCGTTTACTTAGAGAGAAAAACATATTTTACTGATTTTATGCACAAATCTGTATTAAGATGGAAATAAAGTTAATAAGATTGTAGTTTGTTTGGAAAATCATATTTGATTTATTTTAAAACTTCAATCTATTATTGTTAATTTAACTCACATTAGAAATTAGGAAGCCTTTGATTTCTTAAAATATTACACTAAATTCATTGATCTGTAGTAATTTTGAGAATCAGAAAAAGAGATATCTTCATACGCCGTTGTTCCGCTCAAAAGTATACATGTAGTTCCTGCTAGTTTACAGTTAACCATTTTTATCTAAAGTTTTGTAATTCTGAGAAGGAAAGAAAAATATGATCCTTTAAATACAATACAACTTATATTTAAGAACTTAAAGCAAATATACTTTGAATAATTCATTAAGTCAGAAAGCAGACAAGAGTTTCCCCTTAACATCATAAACTCTCAAAATACATACGCTGGAGAATTTATTTTTTTTATCTGTACCAAATAGCCATGTACCGATTTAATGTGCAAATTTTCATTTAAATTAAACAAAATCATTTTGAACCTACACAAACATTCGGAATCATGAAATGATTTATACCCAGGTCCACAAACACATCTGTTATTTTGACAAACAGAGCCAGATACCATAGAACACTGCTCATTTCGTTTGCATGTTTCATTCAGTGTTAAATTTCCTGCAAAATAAGAAAAAAATAATATATTGTTAAAACTTCCAATAATACGAAGAATACTTTTCTGTACAGGGTTCTCTATTATTTAACATTTTACTGTGTTGCGAATTTTTACCGTGTCAGGGCTGCCACAGTAAAACATCTCATGGAGAACCTTGCTTAATAAATTGTATTACCTTTTTAAAATATTTTTTCTCGAAAAAGTTTTTTTATTGAGTATTTCTAATTTACATACATTGCTTTTTTTTATTTACCCTGCAAACATTCATTTTCAAGTCTAATATACCCAGGATTGCATGCACAAACATCGAACTGTCCTTTCAACGAGCAATTCTTACTATCTTCTTCGCACTTTTGAGTTGATGGTAACAAATCTCTAAAGATGTCTAATGCTGAAAAAGAAAATAACAAGAGACCCAATGGTCTAAATGGTAACCTTAGTTCAATACACCACAATAAAGAACCATCGAAAAATAAATCTTAAAAGAAATAAAATAATATGTTTTAAACATTAACCAAGGAATAAAGGAAACGCTGATCCCTGGAAAATGAAATTCATTTTTCGAAGAATCACTCCGTTTTTAGTTTGTCTGTTCAATACCCAGGGGCCCATTTCATCAAAATTTGTAAATTTAAGAAGTAACTTAGGTCTACATCCGGGGCTTACTCAAAACTTAGTCGAGCATAACTCGCATTTCATCAAGTTGCATTATTCTATTCGTAAACGATACGCTTAGTCTAAGGAACTAAGTACTTGACAACACTGCATTGCACATGAGCAGAAACTTAAATTTACATATTGTATAAGTGTATGAAGAACAACACACATATACGAGGGCCGTTCAAAAATTACGCGGACTATGCGATTATTTACTCTAACAGACGTTATACAGTCATAAAATTTCACAGAAATATGTATCAAAAAGATTCCAATAAGTTTGGGGCAAAAAGTCTGTATTTAAAAATAAAAATTCTGCTAAAATTATCGGTATGCTGATATCGCTGATGTAGAGGTGCGGCACACGACAAAACCATTTCAACAAAAGCATGCGGAATCCAAAATTTAACTCAATAATTTTCTATAATTCGCGATATTTTTCGACATTTTTTTCAAATGTATCTTTGTATTCTTCTATTATTATATATTTAGTTTCTGACGTGATAATTTAAGTACTAACAGAAATATAGTAACTTTCTTCGATGCCTTTCCCGTGAAAACGACTGTAAAAATGACGTATCCTGAATTAACAGAGCACCACACGTTTTTTCAATGTGTATGTGTAATGCTCCAGATATCGCCAATTTAAATCCAAAATATGCATAATAAAACATGTTGTAAACTAAGGTACACGTATTCCTGGAATTTCGTCTACAAATAGCAAATTGGAATTTTAGAGCGTTAGACTTCTGTAAAAACGCTCTACATAGGAGGACTTGAAGATTTTCCACGAAAACTTGATACGGACTGTAAAGAACGTGATTAAGAGTGACCAATATAACACTATATCTCATAAATACCCACAGTTTTTTTGGTTTAAAAAAAAAGAAAAAAAAAGAATATGCTTTACATCCTTCATAGATTTTATACTTGACAAGAAATGGTGTTTGGATGTTGAGTAGATAAGGTAACTCAAACTGTGTAGAAACTCTTGGTAAAATCTTGAGAAAATGAAAGTTAAATCACATATTTTTTTATAATGCCTGTGACGTCTAAGATTTTGCTGCTCCGTGACTTAATGATATGCCCTGATAAAACCTTAAATTGATACCAATTTACAACATTTTGATATGAAATTGTGAAGACCATATAAGTAAATATTCTTTTATATTATGTGTGACATTTTGCCCGATTATGTCGTCAAATATTTTTTCTGTGCAACAAGTCAGTGTAATTTTTGAACGACGCTCGTACATTGACATACAAAAACCCAAAAAATTACATAATTTGTAGGGACTCAGATTGTAGAAAACATTCAACCTTCATCTAATGATTATAAAATATTAACTACTGAAAACATGAAACTACTCAATTAAAGGCCTGAAAATAAATAAATGAATGTTCTTGTAAATGAATGGAAAGAAAATAAATGTATTTATTATACCATCGTCTATTTTTGCTTCAAGTACCAATCCTCATTTTACTGCCAGAATCTACTCTGCTCTGTTTTTTGCCAAAAATGATGTCAAGAAATATTTGAAATGAAAAGAGCATTTATTACAAATGCCAATGAAATATACAGCAGTATTGTTTGATATTAATTATATGTTACACCTGTCACAATAAAAAAATTAAAAACAACCCAAAAGGTACATACAATAAAAAAATGAAATGCATATCTTAAATTTGCCCTAATTAATATAGAACAACAATACATAAAGAAGTATGTACACAATAAAATATTTACATTTTCCCCCTTTCAATTTTGATACGGGAAGAAAGAAACGGAAAGAAAGGGGAAGAGAGAGACCCTTTTACAATTTTATGTACTTGTATATGTATGTAACCTGGCTTATGAAGGACTACTAAACTATTAAGAATCGATAAAATATATCAAAATATGCAGCATGAAATAACGACTTTTTTCATTTCTTCTATGACTTAACCTTTTCAAAAGGCCATTCCGTTTGTTTCTAAAAAAAAAAAATACCATTTTTTTAAAGAAGAGAAATAAAAAAAGGCAAACTTTCAAGTAACTTTGTTTTCCCTTCTCCTTAATGTTAAGTCGTCATTAATTTGTATTCAATATCAGGATATATATTGTCTATCAAGAATATTAATTTTACGAAATCAACTGGAAATGTTTTCGTCTTTGAACGTAATCTTCTTTTTCTGAACTCGGACCTTGGTCTGTTTTTTTTTTCAACGGGGTGAGGGCATAATCATCAGTGATCTAAAATTCCTTCTCAGAAACTTGCTGACAATCTAAAAAATTATAACTTGATGGTCACATCCGAAAATCTTATTTCGCGGGCAGGGTAGGTGTTAGCTTCCTTCCCACCATTTCTTATTTAAACTTCATACATATTGTTCTTTCTTCCAACCAAAAAACAAATCTTTAACATGTGTTCAATGTTATTTCATTTTATTTTTACATTTGTACTCTAGATTTGTACATTAATAACTGCAGCGAAGACTGGACTCCCTCCCTGACCTACATCTAAATCCACTCATATGGACGTAGAGTAAATAAAAAAATGGCGTTTTCTAGCAATATGTTTTGTTTTTTTTTTTTTTTTTTTTTTTTTTTTTTTTTTTTTTAGAAAAGGCCTACATGCTGTTTTTACTATAATATATAAAAAAAAATATTTTTATAAGATAGATATTATCTGAAAAAAACTCTATTTTCGCACAAAATATACCCTTTTTTAGAATAAATATGTTAATAAAAATATTTTTTTCAAAACAAACATTTCAATATACATTTTTCTGTAAATTACACAAAATTTATATTGTATAGTCGATTTTCAATACCTATTTCTCAAAATACAGCAATCAAAGATGTATAAATGCAGAATTGTCAAAACTTAAGAGATATTTAAGATTAATCCCTGAGAAGACAATCTTTCATGAAGAAATTAATTAAAGTGAGTTGACTTCAAATGCTGCATATCAAGGTGTAACCCCCTAAATCTTCATAGCCTGTGAAATTACTCAGTAAATAATTCATAGTTTGTATTAAAAAGACTTCTTTTATTCTAATTCTCCTGAAATGGCGAAATCGTTTTCAAATCAGTAAGGTCGTTTCATTTTAGGCTTACATCGAACTTAGTCTACTCATGCGTAGACGTAAAATATAGGTATAACTTAAGTCCGGTGTAGAGATCCGTTATTCAATGAAATGCAAATTTCTGTGTTGATCCCGACTTTACGTTGGGGTAGCGCTAAGACTGGGCATGCGACCTTTGATGAGGAGAAAAAATAATGAACGATATATTGCAATCAAGTAGACTATACTAAGATAAATAGTACTATCTATATATTTTTAACATGGATGAATGGTGTTGCTATGGTTATTAAAAATGAAAATGTTTTTGACAAACTTTCAAAATGCTATTCCTCCAAAAAAAATTGTCTTAAGTCAATACATGTATACATTAAAACTGTAGTAGGCTACACAAAACTGCGAGTCATACTTTTCGGTTTTTGTTTGGATGAATTGTTTTGCCATGATTACTTAAGATTTCAAAGTTTTAATTATTTCTATATTTTTATTTTATTGAATTTTGTTGCAGTGTATAGTAAACTTTTTAGTGCTCTGAAATACTTTGGAAATGCTTCTGTACAATTTGGGTTTGATTTTAGTTTTACTTTACATACAAGAAAACTACACTTAGACACATAAAATATTTTTATCGCTATTTCCATTTTATGTCATGTTGTTGCCATGTTTTTTAAAAAGAAAATTCTGTAAATTTCTTTCAAAACGCCACTCCTCCAGTAGATTCAGTCTGACTTCAATAAATTTTCCAACAAAAAGAGACTAAACTAAAGATCAATTTTCTTACATAAGCAGTAAAAAAAATTTAGTAAAAGGGACAGAACAGGATGGATTATAGTTTATATAAAACATCAATAAGTGAAGTTTTTGCAAATATTATCTGTTTGCGAACCTGCATATTTATTTCGTAACTTGCCATGAAAAAAGAAAAGAAAAAAGATACGATTTTAAAATTTTGTAGTAAAACTTAATATGTGTGTGTAAATTTGCATGTTCACCAAATTTCCAGTAAAAAATTATGTCATAGGACTTTAAAATAATTTCTTCTGATAATGAATTCGTATTTAACAGATACGAAATATTTACATATATAAAAAGGATAAAATTAGGTTTAACAATAAAATACTTTCCTTCCAAGTAGAATACATGAGAATCCAAAAATTTACGGTCAGATGAGAAAGTCTATTATGCCGAAAATTATCTAGTAAATTTCTCCAATAGGAGTGGTTTAATCTTTAGTTATTCTATGGTGGAATAGACAAGCATACTTTGAGTCCAAATAAAATACTTGCTGTGGCCTTCAACTCGACATTTAGATATTTCGACGACGTATTGCCAATTGACAATGGTTATTTGCAATCTTTTGTTGATACGATATATCCCGGTGAGCTTGAGATAAAAGATACCACAGAGTCTGGCGCATCTCTGTTTCATATTTGGATATTTTACTTGAAAAAGATGTCAGTGGTAATCTAACAACCATGCACAATGATAAACGCGATGACTAACTTTACAATCGTCAAATTCCCTTACTTATGCAGCAATATACCTTAATCACCTCTACACGGGTTTTCCTCACTGCTCAAAGGCCCTGAGTGCCGAGTATAGGTCTAAATTTGAAGTCCTTCACCGGCATACGGTGACGTCTCCATATGAGTGAAAAATTCTCAAGA